CTGCTGAATGTTTTGTAGAAATGGGTTATTGTATTATATTTTATTATTATATTTATTATATTTTATCATTATTTATTTATATATATATTTTAAAAAAATTGTTAGAACTGTAAAATTACAGTCATTTTTACTATTTTTCAAGGCTGCACTTTTGAAAGAGGAAATTGTCCAGTGAGCTGTTTCCAAACTAAATTTCTTTTTGTTTTACACTTATACTTGTGTAAACAAAATGACAAATAAAATCTGTCTAAGTGTAATATAGGTATGTATACATTAATGGTAATTGAAATGAACAACTTTTTCATGTCTAATATAATAGCAAAGTTGCAGCTTTGAATACGTACTGATGCCAATATTGACCTGATAACAAATCAAGATGAATCATAGATACTTTTATGCTTATTTTATAATGTGGGATGATAGCAAATGCTTGATAAATTGATATTTGTCAAAGAGAGAAGAACAGTCAACAACATCAAGTATGAAAACAGAAGTGTTGCATAAACTTTGAACAACAGCGGATAGAAGGAAATTGTTTCTCTGAGCTTTCTAATATAAGAGATTTAAGAGGCAGGCTGATATACAGTATATCCCAGTATTCATTTTTTGGCTGATATTGGACAAATTCAATATCAATATTAGATTTGGAACGCTCTGGCAAACAGATACACACGTCTATACATTTAAGGCATTGGCCTATTGGCAGCATCTACAGTGTTAGCCATTCAAAATTTCCTAGATGGGTCCTTGGGTGGTCTTTGCTGGTCCCTGGCTGGTCCTTGGTTGGTCCCTTACAGTTCGTTTTTAAACATCAATCTTTGTACTAAAATATTCTGTCATGATTTGTGGACATTAAGATTGAAAAATGAGCACCATCTCCTGGTCAGATCCTGCAATTCAGAGAAAGGGTGGAGTCAGAGTAAAAAAATTATGCACGCCCAGGAAAATGACGGGGTCACTCCAGTGGCTGGAAGTTGGAGGGGATTTTGCTGGGAGTTGCAGGGAAGTGGGCCCCCATTCGGTTGCCGTTTGACTGGGAAGGGCCGTTATGAATGGCTGCCACTGTATGTTCAGTCCTTTCCTTGTTTGTCCTGAGAGTTTAGGTGGAAGGTCTTGTCTTGGCACGTTCGCAGGTTTTACTTTTTGGCTAAACATGCTCCATGGCTTGGGAAATCTAATAGCAAAAGAGTGCTTTAAACTTTTCAATAACAACAAATAATGCATATTTTATACAGTTAATAGTATAATTGTTAGCTAAGTAAGGGGACGCATTTTACAGCTGCTTTTTGTATCTCTGCTTCGGTCTCCTTGAACCCCACAGGGCCTCGGCAGATGGCCGCTCACACTGAGCCTGCTTCTGCTGGAGGTTTCTTCCTGTTAAAAGAGAGTTTTTCCTCTCCACTGTCACTATAAGCATGCTTAGTGTGAAGGAATTGAATTGAAGTTCAGGGAATGTTAGAGCCATAAAAAACACATAATTTGGTTATAGGAATATTTCAAATGTTTTTGTGGTGCCTTTTTTCTGTATTTTTTGTCTTTGGTTGTTAGGTTAACATCTGTACAGGTGTAGTTTATTGTGAAGTTTACTTTAATGTTGAAAGGCATATTTCCAGTTTTGAGTTTTTTCTGTAAATGGATACAGACTGCAGAAGGATTGTGCAGCATGGAGGTATACAGTTTTTAACTGTGCATATCATGTTTTTTTTTTCTTTTTGAAAGAAATTTTACTGTCATTTTTTGTATGTCATGTTTCTTGGATAAAGATATTCTGGGTTAAAATTCATGGTTTTTCATGTGTCCTTTACTTATCCATGAGAATGAGAATGACACAGATACTGGATCTGTTGCCATAACATTAGACAAATTACTCCGCCCCCCAAGGTAAGGATATTCAAAAGAAAGAAGGAAGCTGAAAAGAGGAAGCCTGTGTGGAAGCCACAGTGAGTAGAAGTGCTGCTAACGATAATTATAAAGTTAGTTCTTATTATAAAATTCAGAAAAAGTTAAAGCCTCTTATGTCATGGAGTACGGAGGCTTCTTGTGGATGTTTCAATGTTTGTTTGAAGTAACGAATTGAAGTTTAGAATAAATGAAAAATGAGCAATTGCTTGTTGGTGCACCAGATGAACTACATGCAGGTGATCACAAGAGGGAGCCAAAACACATATAAAGGTAACTTGAAGAGAGCCTACACAGGCTTATTGGACAAAGAAGAGCCGGATTGGTTTGATTACTGCTAAAAAGAAGAAGATAGAGTGGATGTAGGGCAATGAAGAGCAGGTTGATTACGTAGAATCAGAAACACTGCAAAGTTTTTACAAGCTGCATGAAGAGTTCATACTGTTAAAAAAATAATAATGTGCAGATTTTACTATGGGATGAAGCTAATCAGTTGAAGCAGGTCAGTATATTGCATGAGTCAAGTAAATAATCAATAGAACTTTATCGGTCTCACATTGGAGAACAGTACCTCTGCATTTCACACATCCCCTTTGGGAGCAGTGGGCTGCCACTGTGGGGCACCCAGGACGCAGTGTGGGGTTAAGAGTCTTGCTCAAAGAGCTAGAGTGGCAGCAGGTTTTGAACTCACAACCTCAGTATTCAAAGCTCTATGCCCTAACCACTAGGTCACCACTCCCCAATGTATCAAGCTGGGTGATTGGCCAACCGGGTAGATTCATCAGAGAAGCAGGACACATGAGAGTAATTCTTTCTGCTGTAAACAAGGGATGTCACTGTTGCCTTTATTTATGTTAAACAGAAGTGTATCCTAGGATTACCTTTTCTTACTGGGAATGACTCCTATTTCCTTACTGTCTCCATGGGTAGTGACCCGGCAGGCTTGCCACCACTCATCGTCTGAGGCATTAGTAACATGGAGGATATCACCATACTTGAAACTGAGCCCCTGACTTGGTAGCCCACTGTCCTTCATTTTATCATAGTCAAAGAGTGCCCTAAAAGTGGGAAAATACATAAAAGATCAGGGTTATTGTTGCATCTAATGAGAAAATGAGTTCACTCTTATGGGTAATAATAGAATGAGTTGTTATTGTTATTTAAGCCTTCTTGGAAACAGATACATCCATCCATACATTCATTCATCCTCCATGCATCCATCAGAGTGCATTAAGGAAGCAATTCACTCATGTCCATGTTAACTTGTCCAGGATACATTCTTCCTATTTCCTCAGATTAACAGGTGAAAGGAATGCTAAGCTGTAGGAACAAAGGCACTCAGGACACAAGAAAATTACCTTTTGCCGACTGTCCTAATATGAACCTTTATAGACACTGGGGAACTATCGTCCAAAGACAATCTACACCACGATTTGAACTCAGATCCTTTCTGCTGCAGCAGCACTTCAAACAATAGACCAACTCCTATTTAGATAAGAAGTTTTGAGGTTATATCTAAGTCCACTCACCTTACATAGAGTGATTTCTTCTGATTAGTTCGCAGAGACCCTGACCCAGAGCTCAAGCTATGGTTCATCATCTGTTCTCTGAGGTCATTGATTTTGGCTTCAAAACACTCATACTCTGCAAGGCAAAAACAGATTTGAGATATGTGCATTATCTTCCAATATATTTCAAGAAGAGCATAAATATTACACCCCCCCACACCAAATAAAAAACAATTAGGCGGCATAATGAGTCCTTGCATCAAGGGTAATTAATGAGATGAAAATCTCCTCTACCTACCTTGCATATTAGTGGAAGGAAGGAAGGAAGGAAGGAAGGAAGGAAGGAAGGAAGGAAGGAAGGAAGGAAGGAAGGTAAAGTGTATTTACTCTTATTTTTAGTAAGTAAAATTAGTTAGCTTGCCAATGGATTGAGTGTTTTCACTCTTAAAATAAGATAAATAGAGAATATGCACTTGAAATAAGACAATTGTGTTTTCTTATATTAATTGTAAATTGTGTTTTTCCATTGGCAAAATGTCTCTTACCTCCTCAATTCAAGAACCAATGCATTTATTAAAAAAAAAACAAGACTTATCTAGATTTTTATTTTTTCCAGTGTAACCCTTGGCGTCAGTGAGCTGTTTCCACTGCC